TTTATATATTCCCAGGAAAGAGAACTTTACAGTTTCTAACCGATTAAACATATCTTCAACTAACAGCCATTTTATCAAAATTAACATTTTACGCAAAACTTTAATTTATCAGTTGAGATAGCAATATTTATTATCTGTAACAAATATTTATCTTTGCTTTAAGTTCTGTGTATTACTATTCGCGACTATATATAATTTCCAGATGGCAATACTAATGTTTTTCCAAAATTAAAAACTCGACGTAGTTGAATTACAATATGTAGTAAAAGCCGTGTTCATAAACACGCAGACATATGTATATATATAAATGTGTGTGTGAACACTGATTTTACTACACTTGTTTACGTATACATATATATATATATATATATATAAACAAATAAAGTATAAGTTCATGAGCATCTATGATATAATATTAATGCGTTTTAAGAAGCACACACGTACAAATTCACATTATAATCAGCATTATTTAAACCTCGTAACTATAAAAATAAAACATTTGAATACCACGTGAACTTATTAGCAACTGAACTCTGATTGAAACAGAATACGTTGAATGGTATTGTGTTTGTTTGTTTTAGAGCAAAGCCACAAAGGGCTATCTGCTGTATCTCCCACGCGGAATCGAACCCCAGATTATAGCACTGCAAGTCCGTAAACTTAGCACTGTTCCAACAGCGGACGAATGGTGTTATGAGAAGGATTTCACACAAGACTAACAATACAAAACAAGAGATACATTAAAATCAAATTTATTATTCAAATACATGTATAACAACTTCCTAAACGATTGTAAAAGCAACATAAAAGTCTTTGGTTAAATCAAAATCATTTGTAATTTGCTTGAATAGTCTAACCCACAAGCCTTCATAATTAACATTAATGTACTCTATTGAAGGCCAGATAGTTTATACGCAGCGATGATTAGTTTCGCTTAATTCAAAACATTATCTTGAAACCAGGATATTCAACAAGCAGTAATTAAAATACAACAGTTTATTAAACGAGTTATAAGGTCAGCATAATTGTTAAATGATATAAAATTAAACCGAAATTACAATGCATATCTCACTAGCATAATCTAATATATATATTATCTGATTTTTATAACTGATATTTTGAAGAGGTAGCGATGTTAAATTTCTGCTACAGTTTCTGTTAAGAAATAGCTGCTACAAAATGACTGTTCCCCTAAAAGCTAGAGTTCTGTAATTCAGAAATGATAATCTAATTATAAAGGCACCATTTTAGCATTACACAAAGCTATCCAATACCTCTTTCTAAGAAACAGATATTGTGACAGGAGTCTTAAAATGTAGTATTATTATAATTCTTGAAAATTATGTAATTATGTAACAGCTCAGTAATGTTTTATTGATATCAAAAAGCCTGCCTTTTAGAATACCAGAACTCACTTCATAATCTGTATTATGTAAAGAATATTTAGTTTCTAATCAATTATATAAATACAAAATGGTCATTCATAGCTATATACACCAATGAAGTCTTACAGACAATATAATGAAACAAGATTTACATTAAAAATTATAAAAAGACAATTTTCATTACAAGAAACTGTACTTCAAATGATGTGTTTCAAATATTGTTGTTATTAGCTAATTTCTATTATTCACAGATGGAACAATCTAGATGTATTTTTGTTTGTTTCTTTTGGATATTTGCACAAAGCTACACGAGGATTATCTACATCAGCTATACCTAATTTTGAACTGATAGACTACATGGATTCAACAAGTCAACATCACCTTCTGCCAATCCTTGAGCTACTCTAACTGAATAGTGGGATTTGACCATTACTCTTATAACCCATCCACGATCCCAAAGTACATTGTGGATTTCTGGGCAACGTGATGAGAACCATGAACCCTTTGATTCAGAGTCTGACATGCTAACTACTAGGCCCTGTTCCACTTACCAAGAAGTAATTAATTTAATATAATTACTTCTTATGCACATGTAAATATACAGATTTTTCCACGAAGTGTATTATTAGTTACAGTATCACATGATGAAAATACATACGCACAAGTTCTTTGACAGGCAAATAACACAGGCCTACAATGGTTTTATTGTCTTGAGATTTTTACATGTTCTACAGTAATTCCTGTACGCTGAATCCGAAATAATAACTTGATCTAAGTAAGAGTTTTTTTTTGTTCTTCCTAACTTGTAAAAAAAATCCTTAAGTGACAGAAAAAAATGAATATTATTTTCTAAACCTGAGTAGCTGAGTTATGGAAAATCCGTTATTAAAACCAAAACAACATTTATGAAGTTTAAATTTGCAGGCCTGTGTAATTCAGAAATGGAAAGATATAAGAAAATAACTATTAGTGGTATGGAATGAGGTGTTCTGGACCTACACTGTGACAATATCATTGACATCATTCAAGATCAACTTCAAGACTATGTCCTTTGATTCTTTTATTAACATGTATCAGACAAAAAAAAAAATATCAATTGCAAAGATGATGTAGACAGTAACAAATGAAACATTTTAAACTAAAACTGACCCAGAATGATTATAGGCACAAAGAAAGTTGAAGTAAACATCCTAACAGTATTGAGAAATGGTTGAGATAATCAATAGCTGTGTTCAAAGTGCTGTTTAAATGTGAAAATTCCCAATATGGCTGCTTCATTGCCAAAAGTGATTGTTATTCTTGGTATGCCAAAATGGCATCTAAACATAAATGAGCCTGCAGTACACAGCTGTAGACACCCATTTCCTATCATATGATTCAAATCAATGTTTCTCAACCACTGGTTTGGGGCTGGTACCAGTCTGTGGGTTTCATGAAAACAAACAAATAAACAAAAACTAACAGAATATCTATATGTAAATTGTAATGGTTTTACATTGTAGTTACATTTTACTGGTCCATGACAGTTTAGGAAGACAGCGATCCAGTCCCTCAGTATCAAATATGTTAAGAAACACTGATGTAAAGGACGACATTCATCTAGAAAACATTCTGCATTCAATCTGATAGCAGTCTGGCATTGTGGTGACAATTTCCATACAAATAATGTTAAATTGTCCTTCAGTTGAACACAGTGTCATTATTTAGATGGTTTTGGATGCAGCTGTAGCACAGTGCTTGTGTGCTGCCTTATATGATGAGGGGTTTATTTTAATATTTTTTAACCATTCAAAGGTGCAATTACATGCTTATGCAAAATTCTGACATTACACCTCAAACCTAGATTTGTGTAACAAACTTTGCTATGGTTTGATTTCAGTCTTCTATGGTACAACTCAACATTCATGGAAGAGATGAATATATTTCTATAACTGTTGTTCTTGAGGATCGATTTTTGATTTAGAACGCTTTATTTATTATTGTCATGCACTTGTTGATTTCAATGTCATTGTCACGGGGTAGGCCTACAACACCTTATTCCATACCACAATAAAGTTTACAATAGTTTTCCAATACCTTGCCATTTCTGAATCATCTTATTGTCAATGAACTTCTGAATCATGCTATATATGCAGAAAACCAGTGGTGGGGTGAAACACAAAAGGTACAATATACAATACAAATGTGCAATATCATTCTGTTTCACAACTATAGAACATAAAGCTGACATTCATTCTTCTTTATACTAAATTAACTCTGAGTAAATGTAATGTAAACTTGTAACACGGTTCAATTTTTAGGATGCCATGTATTTAAATTTCTTCAAGACTAATGTTAAGAGAATACTTAAATCTGTTTGTTCAAAATAGGAAAAATACCAATACTTTGTCCATACCCAGGGTTATGTAAAATTCAGGAAACAGTTGGAATACAATTTTGATATCAAGGACTTACTCTTGAACTATAAAAATATGTAATTAATTGGTTCAAAAGTGTTTATCAAATGTAAGATAATAATCAGTGTTCTATTTTGCTATTATACTTAGGGTGTGAGATGGTTTTTCTAAACAGTCTAGTTATTCAATAAATTGTTAGGTTGTCATGGCAGTATCTCCTACTTTTGTCCATTCTGTAGTTTGAGTTCATTAAGTAATATCTTTAATTTTTAGTTTGCATAACTTTAACCCTTTAACTTGAAACTTAGATTTCTTCTTTTTTTACATCAATTACTTCATTGGTTTTTCTTTTAAAAGAGAATAATACTCCAGCAGAACTAAATACATCACAAAATTTAAAATAAATACTACTGCTTGAACAAAGAAAAAAGTTCTTATCTAAATACAGCAACTAAACACTGGATTCTCTATGCAAGAAAACACTTTTTTCCAGTCTTTGTAACTGATAAAAAAGTAGTACATATGAAATATGAGGTGTACAATACAGATGTAACAACAACTGATAACACTTTAGTGTATAAACATTGCAGAAAGAAGGAATTGACTAGGTTGGTCTGTTGTTAAGCACAAAGCTACACAATGGGTTATTAGTGCTCTGCCCACCGCAGGTACTAAAACCCGATGTTTAGCGCTGGAGGCATACACTCACCGCTGAGCCACTGACTAAGAATGGTTAAAAACTAAACAGAAAAATTCAGCATTTTACACAGTAATAACTAAGATTCATAGTTATATAATTTTAACTAAAACCAATTCATTCTAATTATGGCTTTCAATATCATTATGACACTTTAAATTTGATATTTCCAACTTGCTTTTGTTTACATTACCAGCTGTTTTCATTTTTTCTTTCTTGTTTAATAATTCTACTTTAAAATGTAATTCCCAATATAACTTTCTTATATATATATATATATATATATAA